GACCAAAACCCGAGGAACGCCCCAGCTCGTGTCTTACGGGGAGTCCCACCTCCGGCCTCAGAAAGGAGAGCTCTCTGCAGCGTCCTCGCCTTTGCTTGTTAGCACTGCTTTGAGGAGGCCGAGAGCTGCTCTTGCTTTTATAACGTTAGCTGACACCTTCCTGACCTTTAAGCAGCTGTCAGAGCCTGGCGCTGTCTTGGCCGGGATTGTTGCTGTTGTGGGGTGCAGGGGAGGAGGCGCGGCAATGCCGTCTCCAGCATTGGTGGCAGTTCTGAGCTCGGCGTTCGGGAGGTGGCGGTTGGTTTCTGTGCTTTGGAATGGTGATAGTGCATCAAAGCATGCTGCACCAGTGTGGGAGTTACATGTCCACGGCGTGTCGGAATCATGGAAAACACAGTGGGTGCCTTCGGGATGTAGAGATTCATGAGGCTGCTTGAAGGCGAGGCCCGCTGGTCCTGGTACCCTGCGGACTAGCTGATGACGTCAAGTAAATATCTAAATAGCCAACACAGGCTGTTAGCACCAAACATGCAGAACTGTGTGACAGTCCCACACGTGTCCATGTACGGGCTGCGCTTTGCTGGACTGAGGTCTCGTGGGTTCCCTATTTGTGCCCCACAGGCTAGTTTCTCGTCTTATATTTCATTGAGATAATCTTGATCGGGGTATATCAGGAAGCCGGTAAATAGGCTGTCTGTCCAGTAGGGATCGTAAAAGAGCCCATTTTGTTCCGAGTAGAAGATCTGCAGCCAGACCTCATCCTCCTGCTTCAGAGAAAGGATGGTTGATCCGGAGGCCACGTCGTGGTTGCCGGTGTTGGCGTCGAAAGTCTTGATCCGGTACTGCCCATTGTGGACCAAGCCAATGGCCAAATGTTTGTTGGCCAAAGTGATGTCGTAAGTGAAGTAGTAAATACCTGGGATGCTGCATATAAATTTTCCACTGGAAGCATTGTAATGTCCTCCCTCGTTCATCAGGATCCTGTCGAACTTGATGGGCAGCCTTTCCCTTGGGTAGCTCTTGGAGACGGCCACGGAGAAGGCAGATTTGGCTCTGTTGGCGTTACAGGTGCAGGGCCCCGGCATCCCGGCCTCGCCCTTGCTCCCTTTGGGCCCCTTCTTTCCCGGTGCCCCGTTTTTCCCAGGATTGCCCTTTAAACCCTTGGGCCCTCGGGGGCCAGCCTTGCCGATGGCTCCCGCTTTCCCCTTCGGTCCTGGCTTGCCAGGGTTTCCCATTCTGCCTTGTGGACCTAGGAGACAAATAACCTGGTAAACCTTTCACTGAGAGACGACACGGCAAGTGGGAAGGGGTTGTATTGTTGCAGTGGTGTGTTTTCATCTTGGAGGAGAACCTTGCTGGTGCAAATCCCGAGGAAATACCACCCGGGGCTGGATATCTGTCGGGACTGACTCACCGTGTGAGGTCGGTAGCTGGCATGAGAACAGCGGGGCCTGGGAGCCGGACAGTCCGTCCCTCTTAAGGACCAAAGCCTGATTCAATCATCCGGCTCACTTGAGAAACAGGAGTAATTAATAATAAAGTTAGCCAAGAACAAGCTTTAAATGTTTGGGTTTTTCAGGAACGGGACAGGTTTGTGAAGCTTTTGGAACCTAGCTTTGAGCTTTTAATCTCCTGTCTCTTTTTTTGTTTTGTTTTTTTTACATTTAACATGAAACTGTTGTTTCGAAAGAAAAAAAAAAAATCGAGGTGTAGCAAAACGCCCAGCTTAGCTGGGGGATGAGGTGGGTCACCCAGCAGACACCCGGCGCAGGGACTGCCTTGGGATGGGAAGCGAGCTAGGCTGTCCCAGTGATGTTGAAACTGCTGATTTGTGCTGATCGCGGTAGCGTCTAGGACAAATTCAAGGGATTTATACCCTGTCTCCTGGCCTGCTGCAGCAAGATGAGATTTAAAAGCGGATGTGGGTGGAAACCTGCTCTCCAGACTCCCTGTTTGAGGAGCGGGAGACCAGATGAAGACGCAGCTTTGGCAGGTTGGCGTGACGCCGAGCCAGGAGTGCGATCTGCCGTGGCAGCGGGGAATCACTGTGTTCTCACTGCGGCTGGTCCTGACGCTCGCCGGTGGCGAGGCTGCGTCCGAGGGGACCCCACCTCAGGACTAAAGAGGGGTGCTGGTTTGCTTCGATTCAGGTCGAGCATGGCCAGGGCAGTGGCTGTCAGCCAGCTAAAGTGCTCTGGGGAGCAAGAACCGAGTTTTCTCACCTGACTTGGCTGCGTTTGAGAGCGGGAGTCAGGGACCACCACTTTGTCTCGTCTGGAGAGCGTGTATCAGAACGGGGAACATCTCCCTTCAGACGGAAGGAAGCCAACAGGGATCGCGCACGGCATTAAGATGTTATCAGCAAATAACGTGGGTCTGAACGCCCCTGGTAGGAGCTGGCGAGGGGGAGATGCTGGAGGGGGGAGAGCTGAAATTCTTCGGTGAGTGTCCCGTGAGATGCTGCCTGTCCTGGGGTTCGCGCGCGGGCTGAGAGGCTGCCGCTCCCCGGGCCGTTGCGCTGTTCCTCTGACGCGTTACCCTCGCTGTGTTAAGAAGCGCTTTTCTCTTACCTTCATCGCCGTGCTCGCCTTTATCCCCGTCCTTGCCATCTTGGCCGTCCTTGCCCGGGAAGCCCATCCTGCCGACCGTCCCC